CCTCCCTGGTCATTGTCCAACTCTCTGATGCATAACAAGTGATTGCAAAGACCATGGCCTGTATCAGATGCACCTTAGTCTCCAGAGAGACACCATTGCTTTTCAGTACTTTGGAGAGGTCCCTATATACACCTACCACTAAACCTGCAAAACATACACAACAAAAGTTAACAGACTTTAATCTGGCCCTCGCAGAGTTGACACTCGTGGGGGCTCTCAATGAAGCACTATGACAGGTATCACCATTGCCTCCTTCTTCTCCAGTCCCTGCTGATTTGGAGGCTGCAGATTTCACTTTTCCACTGTGGCTGGCCTCATTGAGCACATCGAGGACAACCACATAGACAACCACTGCCAACCCACCTGCTGCTGCCCTCGCTGTCCAGCATTAGGAGCACCATATCATGGGTACTTTGGGTTCAACACTGTTGTCTAGTCACATCACATGGAATTCTTTAAAGCTCAAGAAGAGAAAACAAATATGCAGGTCCTTCACAAACCGTTGCAATACTCTAGATCTCTATATAGTTACAACCATCTAGTAAGAAAAGACTCTCATAATGGTAAGAAATCAGCAGTCGGCCTCAGTAATCATGAAAAAAAAAAACCACAAACAAACCCAGATAGCTCTTCTTCTAAAAAAGCAGGCCCAATGAACACCCCAGATAGAGAGAACCAGAAGAAATATGTTGATGAGCAAATATTTGAACAGCTACAGAAGAAGATGCAAATAATAGAAGAAACAATGGAAGCCATTAAGAGAGCAAATACCCCAAAGACAACAATCCAGAAGAAATATATTAATGAGGAGCAACTTGAATAGCTATGGAAGAAAATGCAAAAGATGAAAGAAAGAATTGAAAGCCAAGATAAAGAGGTACAAGAACTTAAAAAAATCATCACAGTACAGAGAGGGTATATTCAACATAGTACTGGATATAACAGGAAAGCATGAAATTGAAATCCAGAATATTAAGACAGAGTTGGCAGAAGTGTCCAACATGCTGGAGGACAATAAAGCAGAACTAAAGAAATGGAAAATAGTGTCAGTGAGCTGGAAGACCAGAGTGTCACTGGAAACATACTAGAAGAAAAAATTAGAGAAGAGAAATTAAGAAAACATTAGAATCATGTGGGATGACATTAAAAGAATCAAAGTATGTAAGATTGCAATTCCAGTACTTTGGTAATGACAGGAAAATCACAGAGAAAATTATGGAAGGACTAGAAAGAAACTTCCCAGGTATTTTAAAGAACAGGGAAATCCACATTAAAGAAGCACAGTGAACAAGAAATAGGTAAGACAAAAAAAAAATCACAGTCAAATTCTCCAAATTAAAACACAAGGATAGAATACTAAAAGGAGTGCAAGAAAAAGAGTCACATACAATGGGTAAACAATTAGATTAAGTTCTGATTTCTCAGCAAAAGTCATGCAAGATACCAGATACCAAATCCTTTCTTTAAGAAGATCGGAAGGGAAATTGTCAAGTTTATTTAGAAAGGAAAGAGACCCCAAATAAGAAAAGCACTTCTGAAAAATAAAATTGAAGTGGGAGGCATAGCACTCTATGACCTCAAAATGTACTACACTGTGGTAGTAAACAAAACAGCATGATATCCTTGTCCAAGGAATAGCTTCTCCTAGAAACATGTCCAAAATTCACAAGACTTCACCATTCTTGATGCCAAGCAACACTCTTGCTTTACCTTCTCCAAAACATTTGTTTGTTCTTTTGTCAGTCTGTGGTATTTTAGCACTCTTCTGTAATACCACAAATCAAAACCTTCAATTTTTTTACCCCTATCATTCTTATTCTTCAATTCTTTGAAAAGAAGTTTTGAAAGGGCAACTAAAGAAGACAAAACAAATTATTGTAAGAGGATATGCAAAGAATTGAAGAATTAAGAGGGAAGTACTTGTTCAGCATTTCTTAAACTGAAAGAACTGAAAATCAATTTCAAGCCTCATCATAGAGTAAGAACCAACCCATAGCTGACCCACTGGCAGGTTTTCAGAGGCAATTAATTACTCAGGAGGATATTGCCCATACTTCTCCCATGGAGCATCTGGTGGATTTGAACTGTGTGCCTTTGAGATTGCATCTAAGAAGTATCAAAGCAAGACAGAGGGACTGTACAGAATCACTATAACAAAAAACCGCTAGCTGACACGGAAGTATTTCAGTACATATTGTCTGATCAGGAGCCAATGTTAAGGAATTAAGAAGTTCAAGCTGCACTGGAGGCACTGGCAAAAAATAAGGCCCCAGGAACAGATGTGATACCAACAGATGCAGCCCCGGATGCACTCCCTGGTCTATTTCACCAGGAAGTCTGGAGTACAGCTGCCTCATTGACTTACTGGAAGAGATTAATATTTGTTCTCATTCCCAAGAAAGGTGATCCAACAGAATGTTGAAGTTCTCTAACAATATTAATATCACATGCAAGGAAAATGCTGCTAAAGGTAATTCAAAGATGTCTAGAACAGTACACAGACAGGGAACTGCCGAAAGTTGAAATTGGATTCAGAAGGGATTGTGGCATGACGTCAAATGGATCCTAAGTGAGAACCGAGAATACTAGAAGAATGTCTATTTGTGCCTTAAAGATTGTGCAGAGGTACTTTACTGTATGGATCATAACAAATTACAGCAAACATTGAGAAGAATGGAAATCTCAGAAATTTTATCCATGTTGATGAAAAATCTTTATCCAGACTAAGAAGCTACTGTGCAAACATTATATGGTTTAAAATTAAGAAAGACATGTGTCAGGGTTGTATCCTTTCCCTACACCTGTTCAATCTGTATGCTGAGCAACTTATTCAAGAAGCTGGACTCTATGAAGAGAAATGTGGCACCAGGATTAGACAAAGATTCATCAATGCCCTCCGATATGCAAATGCACAAACTACTTGCTCAAAGTGAGGAGGATTTGAAACACTTGCTACGGAAGATCAAACACTGCAGCCTTCAGTATGGACTGCATATAACCATTAAGAAAATACAAATTCTTCCTACTGGACCCTATGAAATGTTATGATAGATGGAGAAAAGATTTTAACTGTTAATGACTTAATCTTATTTGGATCTACAATCCATACTCTTGGTACCAGCAGACAGGAGATCAGGAGACATGTTGTACTGGGAGAGTCTGCAGTCAAGGGCCTTTCCAAATTACTGAGAAGTAATGATGCTAGTCTGGGGACTAATGAACGCCTGCCAGACCATGTTTTTTTCAAACATTTGCTATCCATCTGAGAGCTGAAAAGTGAATAAAAATAACGGTTGTTGAGTACTATCAAGTTGGAACCCAACTCATGGCTGACCCTCTGGCAGGTTTTTAGAGCCAGTTAATTGCACAGGAGGCGATTGCCCACCCTTCTCCTGTGGAGCGGCTGGTGGGCTGAAACCATTTGCCTTTGGGATTGCAACACAGCTTCTTGCCATAATTTAGGTAAATTAACATCCAACCTAAGTATAAAAACTACTAACCGTCCTTACACAGAGAGGCAGTTCTGCTCTTCCAGATCAGCAATTAAGTGCTTTGAATATTACAATCCATATGTCTTATTGGCAGGTGACTGAGGAAAGGACACTTTGTGCCCATTAACAGGATTAAGGCATCAATGAACAGTTTCTTTTCCATCATCATATTTCCATCTCCAACCTTAGGGATCAATCAGCAACTTAAAGCCAATTTCCATTGGCACTATTTTCTCTTGATAACCCATCCAAAAGAGAGTTACACATATGGCCTGCTCATTCACTTACTTCTTACTGCTCATTTAGTTCTGACTCATAGCTGACCCTCCAGCAGATTTTTCCAAGGGTGTAAATCATCCTCAAGGAATTACCCATCTTTCTCCAGTGGAACCACTGGCCAGTTACAACCACCAGAAAAATGCTGCCATTGGATTAACATTGCAACCCTCTATGAACTGCTCAACCAGGGATCCCTTCTCTGGCATATGTAGAACTGAAAGCAATCCAGAATTGAAAAAAAAAAAAGTATTTTTACCTTCTCAACATCTCCAAGTCCCTCAGTATCAAGCAGAACTAGGGTCTGGTCTGACTTCATAGGATGAGGCAGACACCACATCCAGATTCCCTTGGTGTGGGACTGCACAGTGGAGCCCACGGAGAAGCCTACAAAAGGAGATAGAGATATTTTGGGATGATATTTTAATAGAAAGGGGTTCTAGATAATTGAAGTAAAAATCAATGTGATGAATAGAAAAGATAATTAAACCCACAGCCAACATTAATCTTAAATATAATCAAACAATAATGGAATGAGACACTCTAATAGGTGTCTAATTGATCTTAAAGATCAATGGAAGCTTGCTGTTATTACATGAACCTATTAAAGTACTTTTTATGTACTTTGATGTTTACTACTTCTATGATCTATGCAAGAAATGTATATTAATTCTTTTAAAAGGTGACTAAAGCAAAACATGAAGCAAAAAAATGAGCTCCCTCATATCCTTCCAAACAATTGTGGTGATGGTGTCATTGATATGTATCACCAACTGGGAACTAATTCATAGCTGACCCTCTAGTGGGTTTTCAGAGGCTATAAATTGCATGAGAGGAGACAGGCCATCTTTCTTCTGTGAAGCACTGGTAAATTCAAGTTGCCTGTCCTTGGGTTGCCAGTGCAACTTCTTACTCGCCACATAAATACTTTAACTTAAAATTAATTTTCAGTGTTCATCCCATCTCTAACTTTCTCCCTCACATCACCATATTTGATGCTGAGAGTATGAGTAGACAGAAAACATTGACTAAGGCTTTGTCACTTACCGTTTTTCTTCCCAGCCAGCTTGTTCATCAAGTAGGATTTGCCTGTGCGATAGAGGCCTACAATAGCCACCACTACAACAGGCTGGGTAATGGCAGACAGAATCTTCAGAGCTTCCTCATTAGCCACCAATCGGTCATTAATATTCTCAATGAGGCACACTGGGCCTGGCATGTGGGTCTCAGAAGCCATATTCAGGGCCTTGTTCAGGGTTACCTTCCTTTACAAGGGAAGAGATGGAATGGAATGTAAGTTCTAAACAGTTGCATTACAATATGGACTAAATTTTAAGTTTCTTTCTTTGAAGTTTGTTCTTAATTTCTCTTTTAAAACTCTTTGTGTCAACATCCTGGATAAGGTTTTTTAATACTAGTGAAGTAACATGGGTATCATCTCAAACGAGATTGTTATAACGACAAGCTGTTAAACATAATTTCCATGGCAACTACTGGTAATAACAAAGAAATTATCTACCAAATATACCTAAAACAAAATGACAAGTATTTATAAACAATTTTTTTAAAAAAATCAACTACATTCAGAAGAATTAATGAAGAAAATCAAGAACCCAAAAAGGAATAGTGAGAAGAGTTGGGATCTCAGAAGGCTTTTAGGACCAATTAGTAGGCTCTGTCTCCAGGAGAAAACGAATATACTTGCCAGTAATGTTGATGCTCACCCACAGCTCTTCTGGGAGAATCTAAATCATTGAAGCATCCTCATTTGTTTCCAGCTGGGAGCTGGGGCCTGTCATTCCTGTCTGCCACGAGGACCTGATGTGGGCCACCTTGGCCAAGTGTCCTTCAGAGCCACACTTAAAGCAAGTGAGTG